GCAAATAAGGAGACTGATTTTAGGAGCCCCTGGAGAAATAGGTGTATGGATTGTTTTGGGATGCTGCAGGCACTTACGGTTGCATCTAGGTCACCAAGGACCATGTTCAAAAATCCATGAGGCATGCAGCATGGGAAGCAAGGTGCATCTGTTGTGAGCCGTGAGAGTACCCAGAGTCGACGGGTCGGGGCGCATGGCTTGTGTGTAGGGCCATCGGACTTTGATCTCCACACATTCCTATCTGTCATCAAGTGTCAATTCGTGGTCAACTTTCCTGTCCTTGCATGCTTGAGCTGGAGTCCACCTCAGATTCTCTTTCTGATTGACTCATTGACGTTGAATCCTTACATACTCCTCGAAAGAGTTGGGTTTACTGGGCTCTAGTAAGTTGATTGAAAGTGGAAGAATTTGGGTTCAGCGTGTCCGGTCACATGCTAGAGGCATTCCGGCTGTGAAGCCTTGTTTGGAGGACGCCGGGAGTTCAAATTGAGAAGTGGCGTCAGTGGCAGTAGCCCTCACATATTCTGGGTTCTGCAGGATATGCTCCATCAGCAGTACCGCAAGGCCAGAGAAGCTCAAAAGTGTGGTTCTTCTAGATACCCGCCCCAGAAAAGCCTGCCTTGCTAAAAAGACGTTGAGGATACTTTCGCTTACCCAAAGCATTGTAGATCCCCTCATGTCCGGGCATATTTCCTTTTATAGTCTTCCGATCATCCTTTTTTCAATGGAAGATATTTACAAGGTACTGCAAGCCTGCACCGGGCTGCAACATCCAGAGGACTTGATGCTTTGTGCTGTGGCAGTGGGCGTAGGGGTTTGGGGTTGAGCGTTAGGGTTCCGGGTGTGAGGCTTTCGTTTGGGGTTTAGGGTTAGGGTTTGGGGTTCAGGCTTTGGGTGGAAGGTTTTGTGGTTTTAAAGGCTTAGCGCTCCTCTAAGATTTGGGGTTTAGGGGTTCAGGTCAAGGTTTGAAGGGGGAGTGGGTGCAGGGGGCTGTCAGCCCTTTGGTCCTGAGTAGTCCAAGGCTTTTGGGGACAGACACGCTTCGTGCAATCATGTTGTTTGGGCTGGTCACTGGTCTTTGCATGTATTTGGGTATGGAAACTTGGGGTGGTACATTGCCTGTGGTGTATCCTTACGGTCTTTCCCCTGCTTGCACTGTCCGTGCTCTTGGTAAAAGCTACCTGCTACCCGCAGGTCGACTACACGTGATAGGGTAGTTTCTAAAAAGTATCCTGCTTAGCCTTTGAGGGAGACACCTAAAGTCCCACACCACACATCCTTAGAGTCCCTACTGGCCACCTTTCATGAGATTCCCTTCTCACGCTTATAAGCGCCGTGCGCTTGTTAGCCCACGCTGGCTCACGATCCAGCTGCGATTTGCGCAGCTCAGGATCTACAATTCTGTTTAAGATCTGACAACACTGCGCACCTGCACTGCGAGCACAATGTTACGTACAATCGTAGCTTCCACTATTGAAATTATGTCAAAGAATCGTTTCAGCGCCCAACGACTGACAGGGCGGTCAAAAGTATTTCAGAAGGGCCCGCCTCAGTTCCTGAACCTCTAAACCGAACATGTTAGACGCTCCCTTCGAAGCTCGGTTTAATCAACTCAAGACCTGGTGAAAGTCCACATAGAAAGCAGACCCTAAGCCCCATACTCTACCAACCAAGACCCAACCTTACAACCGCACCCTACTCACCAAACCCTTAAGCCCAACACCCAACCCTTAACCTTGCCAGCCAAAGCTTAAACACAAACCCTAAACCCTACAAACCAAACCTTAAGCCCAAAACCTTGCAAACCCCAACCCCAGACTCCACAAACCAAACCAAAACCCTACGAAGCCTAAACCCCACAAATCACACCCTAAACCCTTGAAAGCTGTCTTTGTGCTTGACATGGCCGCCGGCCCTCTGCGCCTCTTCGTGCGTGATGCCCGTGGCCAGGACAGGCCTTTCCTACTGATAATTGGGATGTGGGGTTGAGGTGTCACAGTTTGGCATAAAGGTTTTAGGCTAATCATGGGATTTGATGGCTGAAGGAGTGAAGCACCAGGTGTTCTTGTCATCGGCAGGGCTGGGTTAGAGCTTAGACGTTGGGAGTTGCAGAATCAGACTTGTGGACGCGCAACGTGGAGTTTTGGAGCTCGAACGTTTAAAGTTCAGGGTCTGCAGCCAATTCGCCCAGTACCAGTTTAGGTTTCACAGCTTGCACATGTGTGCAAGAAGGGATGATGAGATCGAGCACAGCGAGATCGCTAGGAAAGATTGCAAAGGCACTGACCACAGGATCTCCGTGAGCTTGTTGAATGGTCCTCATTAGAAGAAGCCACAGAATTCAAGTAGGTCTCGTATCCGTTGGCGCCAAGATGTTTCGCAATTGCTATGTCTCCAGCACAGGATGACAACGCGGATGTGCTCTATGCGCATCCGCAGGCCCCTGTGGAGAAGCCCGGTGGAGCCATTCATGATGGTTACCAACAGTCTTTAGCTGTAGTATATGGATATAGCATGTTCTGTCCAACTTATTGAAGATCTACGAACCTAAACATGGTCATGCAAGATCTTTATTTCTTCGCCCGAAGCCTTAAACTCAAAACGCCTCAACTCCAAACTCCAAACTCTGAACCCAAGACTGCATTGAAACGTCACTTCCTGAGCATATGAGCTATAGTCTAGATTCCTTGAAGGGGCTTAAAAAGGGGCCTCACATAGGGTTCCGAAAAAGGCTTAAAAAAGGGAATGCTAGTACTACCCCTACAGAACTCTCTCTCTCTCTCTCTCTCTATTATATATATATTATAGCAGTTTCCATTTCATTTTCCATGTTCTTTTCCATTTGATTCTCCGGTGTTGGGGTATATATAACCCCAAACTCTAAACCCAAATCTCTAAACCCTAATCCGTATAATCCCTAAACCTTAAACCCTGAAGCCTAATCCCATGTAACATCAAAACTGAACAGGAGCCGGTGCCTCGCCTCGTCGCCTCGGTGCCAAGGGGCGGGCTGTCAGTCGCAAGGTGCAAGGTTTAGAGCCCCCTTAAGTAGATAGAATATGGGGTCAAAGCCATATTCTATCTACTTCAGGGGGACTATAGAGTTTGGGGTTTTAGGATGGGGTACATTTGGGAGCACATTTTGCAATATCCCTTAATACAACATGCCAGATGATCAAGTTTTCGCCCGAAGCAGCCAGCTGCGAACTTCTGGTCGTGTTTCAGACACCAACAGCCTCACCAGTTGCGCAGATGCACGCAGCTATGCCATGGAACACTGGAGTATGCTTTGGCTGTGCTTTTGCTTTGCGTGCGGTATGGTTGTCTTCATGGGTTTCTATGGTTCTTTAGACGTATATTTTGCTCGCTGCATACCTATGATGGCTTTCTCCAGGGGACGACGAAGGGATGTCATGTTCCAATGTTGCCTTGAAGATTCAAAATCAGAAGCATGTCCAGCAGGCCGAAAATGGAGACAGGAACCCCAAAGCTGCTTGTGGCATGTGATTGTACTCATATTATACATCCAGTTTGCTGGGACAGCAGAAGCTGACATGGTGACTTCAGAAGGAAGATTTCGGGAGCTGGGAAATCCAGGTTTCTGATTTCGTGGTTGCCGAGGTTGTTTTGCAAAGGTCCGTAAGACGATTTCTCGGACTTTCCTGAGGAGGAGAGGCTTAAGAGCTCTGATTCGCCAGCATCAAGGAAGATTGAAGTTTGTGCAGCTGACGCAGCCTGAAGGTTTCAGGCAGCATGTTGATGATGTTGTCACCCCTCGCTGGGGCATGTCCAGGAAATTAGGGTTCAGGGATCAGTTCGATGAGTTCGGTGCTGCTTGAGGGCTCTGTTGAACGGGGTTCTAAGTCAAAAGGCTAAAGGTTTTGGGGGGCATCGTCTTGGATGTTCCTACTCGGAGGCCACTTGCTGCCAGCGTCTCAGACAAAGTGTGGATCTTAAAGCAAAAGTCGGGGTTGACAGAAGGTAGCAAAGGCGACCCAAAGAGCTAGAATCACGTATGGGGTATATTGGGTTACTAGAGTGTTTCAATGTCGCATGAAAGGATTACAAGGGATGATATTCCTAAACGGCTAAAAGACAAGGCGTCTGCAGCACTACTTCTACGGTGAAGCCGCGTCCTGCCACAAAACATCCTGCATGGCATGGAGGCTTTAAATTTGGGATAAGAGGCTCGTGTGATTCTAGGAGACAGGTGCTGCGGCCACCATGAATCCTAAATTCAGATGATGCGCTGAAGCCTGATCCTTAGACGAGACGCTCCAAAGCCTTGAACACTCAGCCTGAAACTGAATGCCGAAGCCTTACCGTAGTCGGAAGAGAGGCTCGCAGATCGATTGCGGGCTCTTCTGGGCGAGGAGGTTGGGCCTTGCGGGCGGACTGCTGGTGTTGCTTCAGATCTGGGCAAATTATAGTGACCTTTATTGTAGGTTCTATGTGGTCTACCACTTCCGGAGGTTTCTGGAAATTCTTCTGGCTCAGCGAAGGATTGTCCGTACCATAGCTTTAGTTGGGTTTTGTCTACTCGTCGTAGGTTTTACAGGTTCTCCGCAGTTTCATCGGGCTTTTGATGGGGTCTTGCTCCATGGGCCGTTCAGGCTCACGGGAATTTTGGTGGGCATGTACAGACGACCTCCAACGGTCCCCGTGTGCACTGAGCATCTGGGCGCCCCATTGCCCTTCTTCTGATGCTGACAGCTGCCCAATACACATTTTTCCTTAGTCAAGCACGGATTAACCGAGCTGCACATTTAGAACCAAATATTTGGAGCCTTTAGGATTCCCAAGTACTCCGAACCCTTGTAACCCCCCAAGTCCTAGTATGATTCGCAAAGAAGCCCTTTGAAAACAACATCCTTAAGAGCCACCACGCCGAACTTGAACCTACGAGGAGTAAAACTGTGTGGGAGGGTCAGGAAACCCTATAGCATGTGGCATCCTATGCTTCCTTATCTATGATCCCTAGATGATGTGACCTTACTCAGGCGCGACCAAGCCTGTCTGTGGCCGGCGAGCTGCTGGGCCAAAGCACGGTTGCACGGAGCGTGGCCAAGCAGCACCACGGGGGAGTGTAGGGTTGAGGGACTACGGACGATGTGGCAGAGGGTTGCGAGAATGGACCTGCGAGAATAGACCTCTGAACTACAAGCGTGGTAGTGGCAGAGTTCCAGGGGGAGACTGAATTAAGAGGCTTTGGCAGCACGCCTTTACCTGAAAGTTCGCAGTTGCATTCCCATGACAGTAAACATGCGGCTCTTAGCTTCAAACCCCCGCTGTCCACCAGCTGCGTTTCACCCTCGACGTCTGTCTATCCATCGAACAGGTCTTTTCTCGAACAATGGTGTTGTCACTATTAGCGTCACTCATCGCTACTGTTAGTCCTGTTAATCTCACGATGATTATCTAACCCTCGTAAAGGATTATGTTTTATTCTTCTGCGAAGTTTCATCTGTCAGTGTCAGGACTTGCCTTAAGTCAGTATACTCCGAGTCCCTATCTCTGGGTTGCTATCACATTGCCTGCAAGTCTATTTGTTTTTACCCTAAGCCTTACCTACCACTACGCATTTTTTTGCTTCGCGAAAAGCTGAGGTCCTCCGCGACGGTGCTGTCGTCGACCTCGTGGCCGAATCGTGTGCCGAGAAGGCCAAGAAACAGATCCAGGTGCTGTGGAATTTTGGCCTCAAAACTGCTTCTACCGAATCCTTATAATGCCCGTGTAATGCCCCTATACATGATCGTTGAACCCAATCTGGTTTCCATATGGGAGGTAGCTAGGGGATGAAGACACGGGAGCTGTACATGGATCCTTGAACGGTTTATACGGATGCTTACATGAGCAGTTCATAGGAGCGCTTTTTCTAGAAGCTAGAGCGTGTAGAGTTTATAGGATGTACAGTTTTCCCATTTTCTCCATTGGGATTTTGGCTCAAGAGGTTTTTGGTGTATTCACAGATTCGCCTACGCATCTGAACAACAGCTGTAATGTGAGCTCTGTGTGAATAAGTGCGAGCCCCTTTAAAAGCCATGCACAACCAAATCCGCGTTATTAGAAGCCAGGATCCCAAAAAGACCACCGTCTTAGAGGCGCTAAGCTCTACCTACACAATCAGCGCTCCGCCTTTAAAGTTGCCTTTGACATCCTTTGACTAATCTGGCTCAAAAACAATGTCTTCAAATCTAGGGGGTTTTACCAATGTCCAGCTTCTTTTAATCTCTTACTTGGATCAAAGCCTCTAAACCCCTGAGCCCTGAGAACTGAGAACCCTAAGCCCTGAAACACAACCTGCCAGGAATCCACTGGGCAGCTAGCTCCGGCTTCAGTGGAGCTGTCCAAGAAAGCCCAGGAGGATGACGATCTGGGCGAAGGGTTTAGGGCACTGTTCCTGGAGAAGCTTTGGCTTGTGGAAGAGGGTGCAGAGTGTATGAGGGTGTAGGTTGATAGGATGTTTCAGAGTCAATGTTGAGGGTTTAGGACACCAAACCGATACAACTGGCAATCCTGGAGAGCTGCCGATTATGTTACAAGATCTGTCAGTGTCGCTAGAAGTAGCCTAGCAGGTAGTGTACATATGTATAGTGGGAGAAGGTGCTAAGCTTGTGGCAAGTTGTCCTCACTGTTCTCAGTAGTATGTCATGTCTGGAGCCAGAGTGGGAGTGCAATGTAGGAAGAGCAGATAGGCGAGGAAGGGGAGTAGCAGGAGCTGCTTTAGCAGTAGCGGCTGCAGTAGCAGTATAGTAGCAGTAGTAGTGGCTGTAGTATTACTATTCGTGGTAGCACTAGTTATGACATGGAACCGTGCCCTGGCCACCTACTCCCCACCCGGCCCGAAACCCGGGTACACCCTAAGATCTCAGAAAGCAGATCGGCACAGTCATGAGATACCTTGAAGGCTCCACCCTCGAAAGCGTTGACACGGGCACCGCGAATGGGCTTCTTGTGCCCGGCATACAAATGGCAGGTTTCTCATAAAAGCGTTAGAGGGTGTTCGCCTGAAAAGGCGGTAGAGGGTGTTCGCCTGAAAAGGCGTTAGAGGGTGTTCGCCTGAAAAGGAGTTAGAGGGCTTTCGCCTGAAAAGGCGTCAGGGTGTTCGCCTGAAAAGGCGTTAGTTTGTGTTCGCCTGAAAAGGCG